TTATATTAAAGCAAGAAAAATAAAAAAGAAAACAAATTTTGTTTACATCTTTAGTTTTGTGCAATAGCAAATTTTGACTTCTGTATTATGTTCAAAATATTGTAATTTCTATTTAATTTTTATTCTTTTTGTAATATCTTGCTACTTGAAAATCTCTATAATTAATTTGCATTTAAAGAAATATTAAAATACTCGAAAGTGTTTTGGAATATTTTTTTAATTTAAAATGTAATATTTACAATATTTACAAAAATAATTTAAAATTGTTTTCTTGTTGTAGCCTGTAATTGATTATTTTTCTATTTTAAAGAAACGCCGGGTGTTGTTTTTGTTTTGTTTTTATTTAATTTATTAATTTTTTTTTTCTTTGTAGATCTTGATCAATTAAGAAAATCGATCTTCTGTTTTTTTTGGAAAATTAATAACTAGAAAGCTTCTATAATTGAATTAATTTTTGCATAAACCAATTCCAAATAATATATGAATGTCTGTATTATTCTATAAATTGCATATAAGTTTAATTGTTATCACAAAAATTAATTAAGATCACAAAATATGTATAAATTTTTAGATCAATTTAATATTGAATCGACAAGCATGAAACTGCTTTATATATATAAATTTTTTTTATGTAATTAAACATTTAATTCCTACTACTACTTTTCAAATATTTTAAGTTTTTTTTAGTTATTACTTTTGTTTTTTGAAAATTGTCTTCTTTAAATCCAAAAACAAAAAAAAATTTAAAAATACTTCTTGTAAAAACCAATTCCAATTATGTATTTTTTTTCATTAAAACAATTGATATTTGATTTTATTTAAATTAGAATAAAAAAAAATATATTCTATGTGGGTATATATAATTTAAAGTAAATTATATATACAAATAATTAGTTAATTCTATTGCTTTAATTTTTATTTTAAATGACATTTTATATTTTTGTATTCAAGAAAATGGGGGAAAATGTTTAAGAACCTCTAGAACTGAACAATGTAAACACGACTGAAATTGATATTACTTATTTAAAGAAAAAAATAGAATAATTTAAGTTACTTAGTGTGGTTTTGGAATTCTTATACACATTTTTTTTTTTTTGATTATTTTATAATTATATAAAAACAAATCAAGTTATTTTGTAAATGCAAATACATTATTTTTTATATTTTTAATATTCGAATATTGGCTGAAATTACGATAATTAGTGAGTGTGATAATCACTTAAAATAATCAAATCTAAGAAGCAATTATATAACAAGGTACAATATATATATATACAATTATACTATATTTTTTTTCGGGACTCACCACTCACCACATAACAATTATTATTATTTTAATGAATATACAATTTAAAAAAAAAAAAATAATTAATTGGTAAAACATATGGTGAAAATATTTTTATACTCTCACCGGCTCAAAAGAAATTTATAAAATTTAAACGACATAAATATTTTTAACAAATGTAATTTAAACTTTAAATTACATAGTTTTTAAGGGAAATTCATAAATATACTTTTTTTTTTTATTTCTGTTTAAATGTTTATATAAGAAATTTTTATATATTTTAAGTTTCAACTTTTGTATTGTGTGTGTGCTTGTTGAAAAACAAAATTTTTCTGTGTGTTGTAATTTTTTTTTACTGTAAATTTTAGAGATGATTAGCTAACAAAAGTTTAAAAAACTCCAATTTAATTTTTTTTATCAATATTAGGTAAAATATTTTGTGAAAATCTATTAGAATCGAAACTGATCTAAAACACTTCTATCTGAGAATGAATTTATGTATTACAATTTTTCTTCATATTTCTAATATGATTAAGACGCATTACTTGAATTGATTGGCACTCATATTAGGTCGTCTACCAAAATGCAGATCTAACATCAACTTGTTTTATTCAGCAATAATTTTTTAATTACTGTATAAGTTAATTTAACGTTTGATCTCAATTTTAGTAAACGACCTTATTTAAAATATTTTGTAATGCTCAGAATAAAATAAATTTTGAAAAATTCTATACTACAAATCTCAACTTTTTTTTTGAAATAATACCCCATTAATTCAGTAGATCATAAAATATAGGTGGTTGTAATTTGTTTTTTTATAGGTGGTATGTAAAATTTTTTTAAGTTGGAAGAATATCAAAGTATGGATATTAACTTGAGTCGACACAATTGATTTAATTTTACATTAAAATTTTTTTTAAACAATTTTCCATTAGTTTTAAAAAACGGAGTGAGAAAAAAGTATCGCTATAAAGTTTTAATTCAGAATTTAGATGCATTTAGTTTCTTAATTGTTTTGTGGAAACGGTAAAAAAATGCCGGTAGACTACGAAATCAATGAATCTGTTGCTTTAAAATTTCAGTAATACTTTAATGATAAACAATTCTGGAATCATATCTAAATAATTGAATTGTGTTAATTAAATTTAATACCGGAATTTAATACCAAGCTCAAGTTTACATAGATCGTTTGTTTATTTATCAAATACAAAATATTCAAATTCGTATAAACACGCTTTCAAAATTTACATTCATCCAATTATTAATTATTTATGATTCGAATGTGAGGTAATTTTTAGAATAAATCGAAATTTATCTGAAATTCTTTAATAAATAAATAATTTGATCCTGTAAAATTTCTAAACTATTAATAAGTCATGCGTCAAAAGTTAGATCAACACACAATGTAATAGAAGAAAAAAAAACTCTTTAAGACAAAGTTAAGAAAAATACTAACAAAGTTTAACAATTTTGTGGCTGTTTTTTTTTTCTCATTTTTATTTTGTTATTTTTTTGTTTTTTGTTTTCAAGAAAAAGAAACTGAAATCAGAAAAACTCATTAAAAGCAACTTTTACGATTAGAATAAATATTTATATAACTTGCGAATTTGAACAAAGTTTATTAAATATTTGAAGATGGAATTTATAATTATTACACATCTACTTACTTAAAAATTGATTATTAATTCTTAAAAGACAAGTTTATTAGATGAAGAGAAAAAAAGAAAAAGAAAATTGATAGAAAAATAAATAATTACCTATACTACTATAAAAATAGGTAAGCTATATTATTTTATATTATTCATTAGGTGGTAGCGATTCACTCTAATCTTCCCAATTCAATTTTATATGATGGAACCGAAAAATCAAAAGCTTTGATTAAAAGCTCTTTAAAAACAGCAAATAATTCGTTTGATATTTTCATCACCTTTACACAACTTAAGTGTTATTCCAATGTAAAATTTTTGCATTTATGAGGGTTATTTAATATATTCTTTATATACATAAAAAAAAAAAGTAATTTTAGGTATTTGAATTAAAATAGTTTAGTTTTCAATAGTTGAAATTAATTCCAAATACAAGATCAACTTTGGAAATAATTTGATTTTATCAGTAAAATTATTTTTTTTTCTCATTTTTATTTTCGCTATTTTTTGATATATTTTATTTTTAAGATTTTAAATTCTTCGAAGTGAGTTTTGCTTAATAAGCATTAAAAAAAAAAATATTGATTCATTATTTTAGTTTAAAAATTCTTCATAAAAATTTGAATAACAACATAAAGAGGGGATATTAGTGAAACGGGATTAATTTCGATATTAACAGAGTAAAACATAAAAAATAAATAATGATGTGCGCCAATAACCATATGAAATAATTTATTTTTCATTGGTGAGTAAATAATAACTAAAGTAGAAATAATGAAAATGGTGAGGTCGGGTCCCAGAACTCACCAAATTATTGTAATTTCTGTTACATTTATGATTAAATCCAAAACTACTTTATCAATTTAAAGAAAATATTATAATAGAGGGGGAGGAGGGCTGGAGATCGGATGTAGTTGTGCTTGATGCTAATCTAAAACAATAAAAATACTAACTGCATGCTGATATAAGTCTAATTATTTACATAACTTAATTTTTTTTTTTTTGAAACTATGAAATATATTTTCAATGTGTACAAATATATGATGTTATTGTACCTATATACAAATTATTGAACATTTTCTTATTTCTAATTTTTTTTTTTTGTTGATTCGCTTCATTATGAATGTTCGTAATTTTTATTTTATACATACTTATATTTTATTTGATTTATGTAGGGAAATTCCCCAAAAATTATTATTTTAAAGCCGGTTAAAATGCGTGTTAATTCAATTTTAAAAAATAGTAGCTAAAAAATATGTTGTCAAATTAGTGTGATTAAAAAGAAGACACTAAATTTTTAATTTAAAAAAAATAAATAATTTATTGTTTTCGGGCCCAGCTTAGGAAAAATAATTCATAGACATAATATATTTCAATTGGAATTAAATATTTATTCATTAGGTGAAAATAATATTAACAAATTTAAAAAAAAAACTGAAATTGTGCGGCTCTAATATTTCATTAATAATTGCGGCTCACTAGAGAAACAAAAAAAAAATTTATTTTAAATAAGGCAATGTTAAAAAAAAAATTGCAATTTACTGTCCAAAATTTGAGTCATTGAAATCTACATGTACCATATTGCAGACATCGATTTGTAAATAACAAATACATCATACATATGTATGTATATGTATGTATTTTTGTTTTTATTATCTTTTTAGTTTAATTTTTTTCAAAATAAAAAAAAAATTTTTTTTTTGTTTTTGAGAAAAATTATTTAATTAAAACTTTGCTGTTTTATTTTTTGTTATTTACTGGTGTCAAAATATTAAATGTTATTTTTTTTTTAATCACTTATGTTAAATAAGTTTAAGAAATTGTTTAAAACGATTTGAATTTCCTTTTTGAATAGTATATGTAAATGTTTGAACGTTCTGAAAATTTTGGAACTTGTTTTTTTTTTTTTTTTTTTTGAAAAAAAAAAGAAAAATGGTGAGTACCTCGAATAGAAAATGATGTTATATTGGGTGTGATTCACTCTCATCATTGCCAAAACAATAATTATCGTAATTACAGCCATTTTAAGAAATACATTAAAAAGTAATAACACGATTTCCAATTTACAGCCATCATTTATTGGTGCGGCGATTACACCTGCCACATTTCAATATACGACACAAAATAGAATTATGAATCCAATTGTGCCGGTAGTAACATGTCAACAGTCTACACTAACTAGAAAAATAAGACGAAAAACAGATTCTAAGCCACAATCCCAAATAAATAAATGTAATAATGAAAAAAGAAGAAGAGAATTAGAAAATAATTATATAGAACAACTTGGTGAATTTCTTCAGCTAAATAAAAGAGGTGATATGACAACATCAAAACCGGATAAAGCTGCAATTTTAAATCAAGTTGTTAAAACTTATCGTGATATTTGTGACAAAAGAAACACTCGTGATAATCTAACAAATACTACATGTAGTAACACAGATAATAGTACATTTCATCCAGTTCAACAAGAAAAAATTTCCTCAACAGAATCATTACATTCAGATCAACAGAAATTTGTAAATCCAGAAATTTCAGCATATTTTGAAACATTAGAACATTATGTTACTTCAGTTGGATGGATATTATTACAAATAAATCCAGAAGGAATTATTGAATCATGTACACATAATATTAAAGAATTAATTGGTTATCATAAAACAGATTTAATTAGACAACCAATATATTCATACTTACATCCGGGTGATCACGCAAAATTAAGTCCAATACTAAATAATATGTTATTTAATTTAAGTGGATGGGATCAAGATGAAAGTCAACAAAGTAATATAGCGACACAGCAAAAGTCAAAAAGAAGTATAACAACAAAAGTTAGAATGTTAGTTAAACATAATGAAGAAAGTAGCGAAACAATAGAAGAAAAACAACAAAGACAAGAAAATTATGAAGAAGTTGTTTTTATAGCAGCACCAATAAAAGATGATGGTGATGATAGTTCGTCAGTTTTATGTTTAATAACACGACCAGAGGATGATTCACCATTAGAAACAAATATGCAACAACATATTCAACAAAGACAATTAGAGCAAATGACATTAAAACTAGACATACATGGCAAAATAATGGAAATTGATACATCAGCTTTACGACCAAATTTTTCATCATTCTTTTCAAAAGAACGTGGAACATCGTTATTAGATTTATGTCATATAGAAGATTTACCTCAAGTTCAAACACATTTGAACAAATTAACACAATCTTCTACATTAGTAAATCAATTACAAAATCATAATGCCTCATTTAGGCTACGGCTTGGCTCGCCAGATGTTTATGTACATGTAAAAGCTAGCTCAAGACTTTTTGTTAATTGTACACCTGGTGAAAGTGATTATATAATGTCAGTACAAACAGTTGTGAACAATGATAATGATATGCAGAATAAATCATCTGCAGTATCAATAACTAGCTCAGAATCTATGCAACAAAGTACATCGTTTGGAGGAATTGGCGGGTTAGATGTTAGTAATTTTAGCACTAGTAGTAATAATAATATTAATAATAATAATTGTAACACAAATATAATGAATGTAGTTAGTGGTGGAATTTCTAGCTTTCCAAGTACAAGCCAATATTTAACATCGATAGCAAGCGTAGGTGGACCTTTAATGACCTCAGTTATAAATAGTGAAAAAAGTTTACCGCAAGTACAAACATCATCTGGTACAAGTAATATGGTTTCATCTTTTTCAAGTCCACCGTCTGCAACAGAAGGAACCAATTTTTTTCCGGCCGAATCATTTGAATTTGATTATATGCATTCCCCTTTTCAGTTGGATGTACCCACACTTGATTACCGACCAGCTTCTCGAACAAGTGTAAATACACCAGTTAGTACGCCAAGACCACCATCAGGACCTACATTTAGTCCAGTTGGCAATGAATGCCCCTCACCATTAACACCGCATCATATTTCCAAAATGGTTTCGCAACCAAGCCCACAACATAATGCAAATAATAATTTGCATAGTAATAATTTGAATAGTGTGTTTCCAAATTTTCCATTTCAAAACTTTGATGACAAGGACTCAAAGGAGCATCTAAGTAATAATATTATTAACAAAAATAACGAAAATAATAATAATGATAATAATAATAACAATAACAATATTAGTAAAAGTAATAATGACGATACTAATCTTGTCGATATTAATTCGAAAAGCAACGATTCAGAACGACTAAGAAATTTATTAACTAAAAGAACACACTCATCGGCATTACACGACGAGCAAGATCATAAAAATCGCATACTCAAAGGTCTTTTGAATGCAGAAGAAGAAAAAGATAGCATACCGTATAACAAATCAAATGTCCCTTTGAATTCACCAAAAACATTTGGTGGACCAAGAGGAAGATCTTCGGAAACAAACAAAAATCAAATGCTACTGCAACTGTTAAATGATAAAAGCGAAGATGATAACCCAAATAGATCTAGACAAAGTGAACTTTTGAAACAATTACAAAAAGACGATACACCGAAAGATCACACATCTAATAATAATCCACATCATATGGCGGAAGAAGACTTAAAAAGTCTTTTAAGAATTCAAGATGTACCAAGAAAAAGACCATTGAATGAACCTGATGATGGAAGAACATCCAAAAGGCCCGATGATAAAAAGCAACCATCATCTTTATTGCGAGAAAAAAATAAAATGCTTGCTTCTTTGTTATCTAATCCCGCAAAGGCTCCAACAGTTTCAACAATAACACCTGTTGTAAAAATTATACCAGATATTACGTCTTCGTCTGTGAATAGGGATACTAATACACTTGGAATTGGAACTCCAGGAAATATAGCACATCAACAACAAAGCAATTTTAATAGTAAATCACAAAATATTTCGCTGAACCAAAATAATTCTCAAGAAAATCAACATTTAGATCAAAATAAAAATCAAATGCAAATATTGTCAAAACAAAACCTAGGACAACAACAAGAAAAATTTGGTCTGCAAACAAGTAATGCGGCAAGTGATTTGCAAAAACAACAAATATTTCCTATATCTACCTCGACGACATCACTTCCGATAGTATCTCCATCGTCATCAACAACTGGATCGGTTTCACAACAAATGACACCATCTTCAAACATAACTTCAAGCACGCCTACATCAAATACTGAAGTTGACCCAGAATTATCAGAAATATTAAATGATGTAATTGATATCGTACCTGAGCCATTTATGGAACAGTCTTCTGTGAGTACAACACCAACGCCTTCAAATCAAGATATTAATGAAAAAATGGCTATAAATATAATTCAAAGATCACTTATGCAAATGGACCAGCAGTTTAATAATCCACCAGCCTATTCACAATTACAACAAATAAACCAACAAAATAACCAACAGAGGTTTCAACAGCCGCCTCCTATGTATCAGTCGAGATCTGTACGTATGTCGGCTCCAAGTAGTACACCTTCTTTAATGCAACAAAGATATGAAAACAGTAGAATAGCTCAATTACATGAAAAAGAAAGACTATTGCAACAACAAATGAAACAACATGTTGTTATGTCTGAAAATGCGTCTGTACGTTCAGAATTAGCTTTAAACCCTAATATATCTTTATTAAATGCAGTTGCTCCTAATGTATCTCTTACAAGAGGTATACCAAATCCAGACACTCATCCTAGTACTAATTATACACAAGGTTTAATGAATCAACAGTTAAGCCCTGGTCAACGAAATATGCAGTTTAATATGCCAAATCCTGCAGCATACCAGCCTCAATATACTCCCAATCAAACTCAAAGATTATCACCCCAACAGCACCCTCAAAAAGTTCAACAAGTTTTACACCAACAACAGCAACAACAAGCATTTCAATCAGGAAATACACAATTATCTCCTAGATTACCTGCTTATAGTACACAGCCTAATATGCAAAATAATTCTTTACTGTCACCAATACAAGCGTCGGCATTACAGGGAAATCAAAGATGGACTGCGGGGTATAATCCAAGGCAATTTTTAAACCAAAGAAGAAATTCAACAATTGACAATGTCGCGAGACAAAATTCATTGCCATCGCAAGACACTTCAAATTTCCCTGGACCTTCATCTCCTAATACTACAAATTTCAGCCCATCTGGTAGTGTATTTAATGCACAATTACAAAGAATACAAAGACAAACTAGTGCACCACAACCAAATCAACATTTAGGCCCAGCTTCACGTTCAACATTTGGTGGCGGGCCAGATAATACAGGTGGTGCTTATACATATGGCGGTTATACGGGTGGTGGACAGCAACAAACGGTACAACCAAATTCTGAATATGTTCGACAAGAACTGCGGGCAGTTGTAAGTATACGAACTCAGCAGCAAGCAGGAAATATTAACATACCAATTGATAATGGTACAGTTAAAAGTATACAAAATTCACAAAGTCCAATTGATATAGGTCAACAAAATTCAATGATCTGCGCAAACAGTACAAATCCAATTTCTCCTATTTCAACAATGCAGCAGCAACAACAACAGCAACAGCATCAGCAACTACCTCAACAACAAATCCAAAGATCTAATACACCTCATCAACAACCTTCTTTGAATACACCAACAGATACTACATTGAATTTTAACTTCGATTTACCAGCAGCTGACTTTTTCGGAGGACCATCAGCGCGGTGACCATAGTAAAAGTAAATTTGTTTTTTTTTTTTTTTTTTTTAATTATTTTGGATAAGTCAAATATAAAATAAGGCAAAAAAGTATATTTTAATATATTTCAGAATATGTAATATATATTTTTAGATTGTTTATCAAAAATATAATGAAGAGGTATAACGCATAGCTAAAGATATTTAAATAATATCCAAATGGAACGAACAGTTTTTAAAAGTAAGACTTTTAACGAAGTTATTAATTAAAATAAAAAAAAAAACAAAAACAAAGAACTTAACAATATAAAATATAAATTAATGTTTCAGTTTACATTATTTCTTTTCAAACACAGGTTACAATTGTGTATGTAAAATGTAAATAAAACTGTTATAAATATTATATATATATTGTTTAAAAATAATTGAAAAAAAAAATAAGAAAATTTAAAAATACAAAAAAAAAAAAATGTTATTAAAATAATTATTAAAATATAAGAAGAGGAAAATGAAGCTAAATATTAATTTATAAAATTGATAAAATAAAAAATTACAAAATTCTACTTTTAGAAGAAAGTTTGTTCTACTTGGATAAACTTAAAAATATTTAACTATCTTTTCGCACAGTCATTTTGTTATTTAATTTTTGAGCCGTAATATTATTTGTTAGAGCCGTAAATATTTTATATAATAAAAACATTAAATATAGTAAAAAAAAACAAAACAAATGTTTAATATTATTTCAAAAATTATCCTTTAAATTCTTGAACAACTATATTTACTAATATTTTCGCATAATAATTTCAATTAAAAAAATTAACATTGAGTTTTATTGAGTTTTTCATGAATTATTAATTTATATAAAGCTTAACTGAATTAATTTTTAACATTATTAACTTTAATAACTCAAGATTAATTCAATATTTTGTTTTGAAGTATTTTTCAAAAATTAGAAAAAGTAAATTAATGCCGATATTTTAATATAATAATATAGTTATTTTTACATAATTTTATATACAATATTTTTTGAAATTAGTTAATGCAATATTACTTGGGAAGTAGACTTAACCAATTTCTTAAATTCAGAAATAATAACAAAATAGGGACTACTATGTAGAAACTACATTTAGAAAATTTAGAAAAAATAATTTAAAACTGATAGGTTTTTCATTAAACTATTATTATTTTTAGTAAATTTTTAAGAAAACAAAAATAATAATCAATTAAATATGTATGAATGGCTAATATGATACAAAATCAAAAAAATATTACTTTATATTTCATTTAAAACTTTTAATAGCTTGCAATGTCAACAATTTCATTGTTTAACCTAATTAAATACGATTTAAATTTCATGTAAAATTTTAATTTTATCTATATATGTACTTCGTCGATTCAAAAATGAATATAGTAAAAAATTACATATTTATTTTATACAAAACTTTAATTTTTGTTCTTGTTTTTTAAAAGTTAAATGACTAATTATATTAGGTGTATTAAATTTTTTCAGATATAGATATTTATGCAAGCTCAGTAAAACATAGTAGCTTCTCGTGAAATAAGATTGAAAAGAAATTAAAGTCGTTTTGTTTTATTTTAGCAGATTATGTGTTTTATGTAGTAGTTGGTAGTAAGTTTCAAATTTCGAATATCTTCATTAAAATTAGGAAATAAAAATTAGTTTAAATGTACTTTATTATTGTTAGGTATATGTTTTCAGAGAAATTAAATTTTTATTAAATTGTTTGATTATACCAAAAATAAATTAAACAAATACATATTTTGTTTGCTGTTGCAATTATAGGTTTTTTTCTGCTTATAAATTTTTAAGCTTCAGTTTAAAATCAATCGTATCGAAACTGACTCTGACTGAAGGTTATATAAAATTTTAATTGAAATAATTAAAATAAGTTTGTTTTAATATTTCTGAATATGAACATGAAAATTGTAAATAATTTTTGAAAAACCAAAATTCAAATATTAAAAAATCTGAAATGAAAATTTTAATATTTTTGATTCAAACTTATGCTCCTACATTAATTCATTCCTCAAAGTAATTTAATTTGTAAATTAAGTATTTTCAAAGCTCTATATCATATTTATTTTTATTATTTTATCAACAGAACTATACAATATTAAGCTCAAAACATTTTAGAATAGAAGAAACAATAAAAAGAAATTTTTTAATAATTTTGCGTAGGAGAGGAAATTTGACTTCAAATGTTTCCATTATCAAAATTCTGTACACGTAAAATTTTTTTTTTTATAATAACCTAGAATATTGAATACTTTTTTATGGCGAATTTCTAATAGTTGAAATTAAAAAAAAATTCATAGAATATATTATTTATTAGAGGATGGTAAGTATAAAATGATAATTCTGACATGCACTAAAAGTTTCTATATTAAATCGTGAAAATCCTTTTCTTGCATTCTATTTGGAAACTACTAACACCATTATAGCTAGTCGTTTGTGAATGATCTATATTTTAATTTTAAACTTTCTATAAGTTATAGCTATTCTAGAACTGAATTAACGAAAAGTGTTCCTGCATTTAAAGATTTTGTAGTTTTGATTTATCGAACATAAGATATAACTAATTTAAGATAGAGCTGAATTTTCGAAAATCTCTTATGCTTTAAAGTGTATAAATTGGTACTAATATAAATTATAGGAATTCAGATAGCCATTTTATAATTTAAATAGAGATTGCAGTCATACACTGAATTAGTAGTATACAATAAGATCTTTTATGAACTTTTTGATTTCATGTTGTGCTATTTTGCTTACAAAATGAGTAATAAAGCACAATTTCGTATGACTTTCTCTCATTTTAAATTTCTTTTTTTTTAATAAAACTTACACCACGTTGTATAATAAAAAATAATTAAAAGAAATAAAAATAAAAAAAAAAACAATTGACTTGAGAAATCAAATTTTAATTGCAAACAAATATTGAAATGGAGTAAGTACTTAATTAGAAAAAAAAATATTGATTTTTTTTTTTGTGCTGCCTTTGTTTTTTGTTTTTTTGTTTTGAAATTTTGCCAATAACTTTTTAAAAAATGAAATGGAACATGCACAGTTTTAATAAAACAAAATTATAAATATTCTCAAGTTTCTATATGCATACATATAAATGTATGTATGTAATTTAATATATGCGTAAGCAAAATATTTTTAGCATATATGGGCTATATTTAATAAAAAAAAAAAGAAGCGGAAATATTTGAGTTTCTTGAATTTTATTGTTTCTAAATTAATAATAAAAAGTACGTATATATTTTAAATTAGTAATTTTATTATCAATTACGAGTATAATATGTAATATTAGAATTAGTCAAATCAAAATCTTTATCGTTACTTTACTGAAATTTTTACTGATAAAAAAAAAATGGTTTTTGTTGTCATCATAATAATTACCGCATCAAATTTTTCAAATGCAATGTGGTAAACGGGGAATTTAATTAGATACCTATTTCTTTTTGTAAAAATACATGTAATTTGGAAATAAATATATCTTTTGACTTTGCAACCATGATCACCCATAATCCTGTTAATCGTAAAATTTTAAGTAATTTAAAAATATTCTATTTTTTAAAATAAAATTCCAAATTTTAGAATTGATTTTATTAAGAAAATTACAAAATTATTGAATAAAAACCTATAAGTTTAAATGATGGTACGAACAACAAAATATAAGATAATGATAGGGAACAATACACTTATTACAAAATTCTTTTTATGGTTAAAATTAAGAAAAGTACATACACATATAATATGGCATATATATAAAACTAATTAAAGTATTTTTAATTTCAAAATTTGAGAACCTATATAAATGTAAAAAGTTAGTTATTAATTTATTTTAAAATAGTTTTTATTTCCTATAACATTAATATTAATATAGCATAATATAACACACTTCCGATTCTAATATTCTATTTTAAAATAAATTGTAATACATAGTTGAAGATTGTACACATGGGGTGCAAAGAAGTGCACACTCTACAACACATCAATCGAGATGATAAGACAAATTATATGTTTTGATGTGTTGATGATAAAAATTGTTTTTGGGTTCCTAGGTTTTTTTAGAAATATTTTCAATGCACAATGAAATATCAAATTAAAATATAAATTGAAAAACAGCTTAATAATTAAAAGTATTTGAAGACCATATCTAAGATTATAAAAAGTGTTGTTTTAAATGTGAAATAATTTATAGAATAAAAATAAAATAAATTATTTCGAAATTTTCAAAAATGTGATCAATAAAAAGATAATCACATTTATTAATTAATAAGTCTCCAATTCACATACACCTATGTATATTCCGTCAGTCGCATCACTTGCGGTGATAGCTGTATTATTGATAAGTATTTTAATTTTCAGTATAGAATTTCAAATTTTGGAATTAATTTTATTCTGAAATAGTGTGACTAACAGAATAAATTTATGAAATTTAAAACTATTAAAAATTTTAGAATTTTGTAATTTTTTTTAATATATTTTAAAATTACAAAATGTTTTAATTCATGAAATGTGAAATTAATTTAATCCAGCTTTTATTATAATTTTATATGAAATTTGATTAAGCTGGAGCTACATAATACGTTCATACAAATCTGGATACGGTACATTTTTTTTTTGTTTTGTTTGATTTGCATTAAAAAAACATATTCTTCAACTAACTATGCTTTAAAAGTTAAGTTTCATATTTTAGTTTTTGAAGAAATTTCTAATTTATTTGTAAGTTTCTTCGAATCCATCTGTAGGAATCGTCTTAACTATGGGGCCTGTCATTATTTTTTTTTTTTCATTCACATTTTTGGGAATATCATCATAGTTATCGTTGTATGGATCTTCTGTATTTTATATGGAAAAAAAATCGGGGTCTTCATCAAAAGAGAAACGAATAATACAGCTATTAATCAGCTATTTATTCATTTTTGTTCGATGAAAAGTAGCTTTTGTCTTTCATTCGTTTTCCCTTTCATTTAACTTTTTGTGACAAATATGACAGAGTATCTTATGTCTATTTTATGTTTAACACTTCTGATTTTTGCTCTATACACACTAAACCAATATGTCATTATTATGGTTCTACCGGGCTTTTTTTAAAGTACCCATATACCTAATTATATCAATCGGCGCATAATTTAATAAACATTGGCAATCATACATATAAAATTGTATAACATAATAATGTTAAAATTTTTGATTTTGAAATTAAAAAAAAAAAATAATAAAATAATTTAATTCACCTAAATTTAATAAAAATACAATAAAATAAGAAAATAAAATCGAAAAATGTATTTCAAGTTCAAGATTTATTTTTCTATGTTCTAAAAAAACAAGAAAACAAAAATTCATAATCTAATTATAAAAGAAAAAAATTCATTTTGAATTGAAAAGCTTTAAGTACCTATAAAATTTTAAACTTAATTTCTTTTTTTTTTCTTTTATTTTTCAAAACTTTTTTCATACACAATACATACATTTATACTCATAATATGTATATTATGCCTTAAATTTTTATTTTTGTATACAAATATAAAAATATGGGTATAATATGAGAAAATATAATATAATAAGAAGATTACCTCAACATACCGTTGTAAATTTAAGTTGGTGTTAACAAAAAACTGGTTTTACTGTAATT